ATATAAAGCAAAATTTACATAGAACACAAACAACTCTTATTAATTTAATCAATTTAATAATTTCACAATTCACGCTAAATTCTTTTTACAAAATCATTTAAAAAGTCTTCAAGTTTTTTTTTTTTCAATTAAATTGATTTTCTTAGAATTATAAAATTGAATTGAAATCAAAGAATTTATTAATAGATATATATTTCCATATTTGTTTAGGATAGTGATTTGAAATAGGAGAACTTTCCATATATGCAGAGTATGGATAGTTTCCCTCAATGGCATCAAAGTCCTATTATTATTATTATTTTAAAAAAAAACAAAAAAACAAGCCACTCAAATACGATGCTCTCCCAAACGTAAATTTGACAGCCTTTTTTTACGCCACAAAATAATGACGGGCTCTATAAAAACTAACAGTCCTCCTAAGGCAAGCTTTTAACGACGAATCCTCGCGAGTTAATACACCGCTGCACCCAACCCACAATTTAATTCCCTCCTTTTTCGGCCAACAAGGCTATAAATTTCGGCCGCTTGGTCAAATCGAATAGAATCGGCAGCAAGCTTTTAATTGTTCCGGCAATCGATCCAAGTCCCCAGTTCTCTTCTCGATCAGGCGGTTCTGTTCCAACATGAAAGCAGACATATTTCTCGTCTCCTCCATTGCCGGCGCGGCATTTTTTGTTTCCACTACCATCATCTATGACCTGTTATCCGCATATCGCTCTTATAGAAACGTAGCGTTCCCGATCGAACCCTAAGCCAACAACTTCTTATGCGTTTTCTTTATCCATTGATTGCTAAGTCTCAAATGCTTGGTTCCAGGTTTCATTTGAGAATGCGCAAAAGGCGATATCCGATCGGCAAGAGGCCGAGAGAATGATAAAGTTGCTCCGAGGTTGCATGCGTTGAAATTCATTGAAACGCTTGTTACGGCGCACAGGTGATGTGCGATTTGGCGATTTGGGATGATTTTAGAGATAATGTGAACTGACATTTTGATCGGTTTTACTTTTTTTTTTTTTTTCTGTTTCTTCTTTCTGATTGAGATTTTGATGACTTCTGTTTGATGATTGGCGTTAGGGAATATTTTGGATGTTGAATAACATTGGAGTTTGGGAATTTATTTCTCGTTTTATTTCGATTTGTTAGATCAATGAAGTCGATTCGGAGAAAATTGATTTGATTGGGGAAGTTCTCCTCGTACTCGGTGAGTTGCGATTGGCGGGATTTGTGCGTATGATGACGCGGATCTTGATGGGGAAAGGGCAATGCACATCTGGATTTTATATGATATTATATCTTTTGAATTAATTATTTTTATATTTAATATAATCTTAAATATATAATTATTTTTAAAATAGTTAACCGTGTGATTACATTTACTTTTTCATCGCCAACTTCGTTGCACATTACTTAAGAAATCTTATGGTTTTAATGATTTTTTAGCCAATTTAATTATTATTTTTAAAAATTAACGTTTTGGGGTATTTGAATTTTGAAACTAACTTTTTTACGGTCGGCGCATGACAAGAGGAAAAATATTATATCAGGACTCCGAATGATGCATTTCGAGTTTAATGGTAGGACATCACGTGTTAAGTGGGCTCCACTATTATTAACATTGATCAATATCAATGTATTACGGTAGAACCTACATAACAAGAAGTGGCCCAACACCTTCCAAAAAAAAATAACAATTTCTTTACTTAAGATATTTGTGAACCAACATTTATCATTTTATTCGGTCAGCTTCCAAACGAAAATATGGGGATCATATTTTTTTGTATTATTTGTGATTTGGCACTTATAAAAAAGTGTCATTTTTATCATTGATAAATTCTTTCAACAATTAATGTCGAGTATATTATTAAAAAAATTTAAGTTAATCATTATTTTAACGTACTCCTTTATTTAGATAAAGAAAATCTAATTTTGTCCGTCTTTTGCGTAGACCTTAAATTAATGTAGAAGTTAGAGGGGAAGGAGGCTACAAATATGGTTTTACTAATTCGAGGGATGCTTAAACTATGAAGGTCATCACAGGCCTTCTTGGTTCAAAATCTCAAATATGAGGGGTGCATGAGATGAAATTAGCTCAAATATTAATAAAAAGTGAGATTTACATCCTGCCCACCAGATTCTTATTCACAAACATATTAACTACTTAAATTTCAATTTTTTACATCACATCTTAAAAATTTAAGAATTGGGTGATTTGTACATAAAAATTGATGTTTGGGATTCTCAAGTTAATACATTGGAATTGGGTGGTAGGTATATAAAGGATTCTAAAAGGGGTAGGATGTAAGAGTAGAATGTTACTCAATTCATATGTGTCTCTTCTCCTCTATGAGGCTTCTTATACCCCCAATTTGACGTCACTTTTCCTCCTTTTCTTTGCCCTAACCCTACCGGGTTTTGGTTGATTTGTTTCTCTTTCTCTTCTGTTACAGTGAGGGTTCAACCTTTGGTATGGTTCCTACCTCTTAATCCCCAGGGGGCTTCTTGTACCCTGATTCTATGCCACTTTTCTTCCTTTTCTTTTCCCTAACCATACCAAGTTTTGGTTGATTTATTTCTCTTTCTCTCTCCTGTTACAGTGAGAGTTCGACCACCTCTTAAACCCCCTCCACCCACCCCAGTCCTTAGGGCTGTCAAAAAAGCTCGTTGTTCGTGAACAGTTCGCGTTCGGTTCGTCAATGAGTTCGTGTTCGATTCGTTCGATAAGTAAACGAGACAAATGCGAACAAATTTTTTTCGTTCGGTTAGTTAAACGAACCAAACACGAACAGTGATGCGTTCGTTCGTGTTCGAATCGTTATTGTTTGAAATATAAAATAATATAAAATAATTATATATAAAAAATTTATTATATTTTAAAACATTAAATTTTATAAATTATAATATATAATAAAATAATAATAATAATATATTAATATACTATAGTAGTAATATACTAATATAGATATTGTATATTTATATAATATGGATGTCAAACTGACTCGTCGTTCGCGAACAGCTCGTGTTCGGTTTGTGTTCGGCTCGTTCGTTAAGAAACGAACACGAGCTTATTTCAAACAAACTAAATTTTAAACGAACCGAACACGAAGACAAGCTTTGTTCGTTCGTGTTCGGTTCGTTTACACCCCTACCAGTCCTTCTCTGTCTCTTCTATTTAGAGAAAACCTCCTTTCTGTAACCTAAAACACATGCTCTCCTCACAACTCCCTTCTACTAACTTCAATCTCTTCTTCATACCTTCTACTGAAGATCGAATCATCTCCTCTGATGAAAAAATTAAGGAATGTTTGCAGCAATGAAAACTTGCCCTCGTTGGTTATGTTATTGGGAAATGCCCCATTTATGATAATTTTCTTCAAGCCATTGGGAATATTTGGACTTGCGAGATACAATCAATCTCATATCTCTTGTCAAAGTTTATTGTTGTTTAAGTTTACATATGTTGAGGATGTAGGCATGGTTTTACTTTTTGATTCTTGGTTCATAAGTGGTAGACCATTTATCTTTAAGAAATGGACTTTTGAATTTAAACCCATCGAAGATAACTTTAAGGATATGCATGTTTAGATTATATTACCTAGTTTGCCTCTTTGTTATTGAAGTGAAAAAGGTATTTCAAAAATTGTCAATAAAATCAACATCCCATGGAGATTAACCTACTTACTACTAAAGGCAATCATCTCAATTTCATCTGCGTGAGTGTGCAAATCTCTACTACAACTCTCCCTAATTCGTTATTGAATTTTGTTAAGGGAAAATATCTTTTACAACTAGTTGAGTATGAATAGAAATTGAATGCTTGTGTCATATGCAAGGCTTTTGCACATGATTCAGCTTCTTGTCCCAAGTTCACCACTTCTAAGAAACCCATCTTCACCCCACCACACCCAAAAACATTGACTCGTCATGGCAAAAGTTCTAGCATACCAAGAATGACCCTTTCTAAAGCTAACCCAATATGTTTATACTTTATATAAAAAAGAATTTAATTTTAATATAAAAGAATTGTATAAAGTATAAACATTCTTGTACCTCCATCTGGCTACAATCTAGAACTAAAGTCTAGGTTCCTAAAGCTAAAATTTGTAAACTTCCTAGTTAGGCTTGTAAGCGCTGAAGTCCCTCCACTACTTTAGAGACTGTCTTCATGTCTCTCAGAGCTTGGAGCAAGGACTGCATGGAGAGAATCATGAGCTATTTGCTTGTGCCTCAACTTAATTTCAGATTGTACCTTTTTTATATAGTTTCAGCATTGGTCATGTAAATGTGAAGTCTGGGTTCTTTTTCTAGGATTGTAGCCAACTCGACAACATTGTTGGTATTTTATTCTTTTATATTGAGTGTTTATTTTTCAGGACATTGCTTGTGTTCACGCATTTTTTTCACTTTTGGATTATATTGTCACGTCATGGCTAGGCTCATTAGGATAAAATCTCTGTTATAAAATTTAATTTTAAAATATTTATTTTTTATGTATATTAGTGCTAGAATATTTAAGTTTTTAATATCTTTTAATTTATTTTTTGTACTAGTTTTTCTGTATGGCCATCAAATTAGTTTTAAAACAATCACAACTGTATGGATATTACCCCTAAGCATGTTAATAGGGCTTCCACGCTTAGAATGTCTTAGCTCACTGCATACATACTACATTTCCCGAGAAAAGTACTCTTGCTTTGTAGTATGTCTGGCCTAGCATTTATTTTGTGATTATGTGGTTGCCTAGGACGGTACAGGATTCTAGAGGCTTTTCCAATTCATATGAAATCGTAAGTCATTTATAGGGTAATTTAGATTTGTAACTATGTCATCTGCTTCCTCTTCTTTCTTGTAGGCTTCCTATCAATACTCTTGACAAGTATAATCTCTAATCACTTTTATTATTTGGTTACATTCATAGGAGTTTAGACTTTTCTTTAATTTATCTTTGAATCTGCTAGATTGCTTTGGAAGATGCAACACATGGGTTGATGATTAAGTGATTTCTATTTATGTTAGGTCGATTACCTTCATAGCTTAGTAGATTTTGTGCTTTAATGTTTGAGAGGATGGGTCCATGGAACCCCGAGCAAACTATCTAGCTCCTGTCAAATGCTTCAATGCTCAGGTGCATTATGGAAGTCCACAATCAAAATAGTATTAGATTTTTTTTTTAGTCTGAAATGTCGATCCCACAGAGAATGGGGTGAGTAAATTTAGGAAAAAATTCTAGACTACTTAACTCGTTCTCATTTTGGAATTTAAAAAAAATTTAAGTTGTGTTAACAGTTCCTACTGCAATGCAATTAAGTTTAAAGTTTACTTATACTAAAATTCTAATTATTAATTGGTGATATTTAGGTGATAAAGCTACCTACCCTTGCAGTGATAGTAGTGGAGTTTATAAATGAGAAAATGCAAATTAAAATGTGGCTAGTGACAAATATGAATAATTCTCTGGTTTAGCCTCTTCCGAGTGCATGAAGAAGTTTGGTTAAAGTGGCCTTATTTCTTTAAGCCCCATTTTGAACCCAAAAATGATTATTTCCCTAACATTTGTATATTTTTATAGTGTACATTTGCTTTTTACCTATAGTTCAACATGATTTTCCTAGTTTTTCATGTCATAGTTCTCATGAGTCATTATAGGTTCACAACGTAGTTTAACAAATCATTTGGCCGAAATGATAAATAAATGAAATGCAGAAGGAAAATCATCACATTGAAAGATTAAAGGCAATATAAAACCATTTCCACATTCCTACACATCCTATTGTATCACCACAAGGAAAAGGTAGAGAAGATTACTCAGAAAACATAGAGAAAACACCACAAAACTTCATTAAAATCAAGAGAATCTACATAACAATATGTTTACAAAAAATACAATACTTTAAACACAAAAATACTTATCTTCATTCCTCAATACAACATTGAGAATGCTCCACAAAAGCCTTTACAGTTCTTCTATAGACTCTCATCACTGTAACACTCAGATCCTCACCAATTCCCTACATTAAACTTGCTCTCTCTACCCTAGAGCAAGCCCTCTACTCAAAAGATAACTATTTTAAGATCAGTAGAACTTTCAATTCCTTCCTCTTCAAAAGCCCCCTTAAGAAC